AGTTACCCTATCAGCGCGTGCGCAATTTACACTACCAGCACACTTCGGTAAGATCAAACAAAGCCACACAGAGTTAGTTTTTCTCTTTCTATTGCTCATGTTTTTCTGTCTTTCTCTTATTTTGTCTTTGCTTGTACTTTTTTTACTCTGCATTTTGCGAAACACAAAGAAAAACATCTAAAATGTATGTGAATTTGCAAGTTTTTGAGTTGTTTTTATTTTCCGTGCTCAGGCTGACGCAAGTGACCGGAAATGAAATTTCACCTCCTTAGGAACACGCATGAATCGGTTAATGGGCCCTTAAGGTGGCTGATGATAGTTTTCAGCTCTTTCCATCACTTGTACTTTGATGGATCAATACTACCAATCTTTGTCACATGATCCTACAATAAAGGTATCACACAAATGCTTAATCATTACCGGTAGTAAACAAATTATGGTCATCCCTCTTAACCTGCAAAGTTATATTTTCCAAGTCATATAAATAGGTATGGATGGGACAGTCTCTCCATCACTCCTTCGCTTTCTGTTAGACATTTTCAAACATCTGCTGACCAGAGTACAGGGCTTTCACAATCACTTGCACACTGAAAATCATGTCAAGTTATTTGAGAGTTTCAGGTGAAACAACTATTTTTTCAATTGTAAGGGAAAGACTTCAGGGTTCTTCCATCACAATTGGATTTTTAAGAACCTACGTGGTAATAAAGGTAACTTAGGACCCGACAAAGGCTAGCATATTTCGATTTCAAAAGCAATAAAAAAGTTGACTTATTGAACAATTAAAAAAGTTCTCCAGATGATTTTTAAGCACAAGAAACTGAAAAGGAAATGCTGTCTTTCGGTAAATAGGTTCTTGACATAAATAAGTATGGGTTATTGACCAAGTGTGAGGTCAAGATGGCTGGATATTGGCCAAGTTTTTTTCTTGCGAGTTTANCAAGCTTGGTCAATAAAGGATTTATTATATGGATTTCGGGGAAATTTTTCTTGCAGGACACGGCAGGTAGTCCCGAGCGGGCAAGATAGCTCCATCTTGCCCACTCGGGTAGCCAATCACGGCGCAGGATTTGTTTCATCTTGCCCGCTCGCGGAGCTAACCATATAATAATACAATGTAATAACTACAAGATAAAGATTGCACTCTTTGTTCATAAAATTCAAAATGATAAAAAAAAGTATTCAAGCTGTTTTTCTCTATTGCTCTTAAACCAGTGTCAGAAATCCATCACCACAACACCAGGTATATATCAACGTAAAACTTTTATAGGCCAAAAACATCAGCTACATATGGACAATTGACATTTTCTGCATCAAAAATTTGGGAATTAGTCCCCCTTAGCCTAAAAAACTTTTGATAAAATTCCTTTAATGAAGCAGTATAAGCAGCATCTCTTAAATACTTAAAAAATAGGTGATAATAGTCACTTGCAGCTTTGTACAATATGAAATGTATACGTTGTACATGTAGGTCAAAATGAAATTCAGGTTAAGGGCCCATTAACGGATCTTTTTAAGCCATTGCTAAGGAAAATTTATTCTCTCATAATCTTGTCATTTTTACTTAGTTCAGAGTTATTTAATGTGTTTTAACTTTTTCATAATCAGTGACACTGGTGATGACGTCATCAGGCCACGCCCATGGTCATGTGACTAATACTGAAAACATGCAAAGGCTCCCAGGCAAATTACTGTATCGGGATTTTTTTCATTGACTTAATATTTTAATTTAAATCCTCACTACGCTATGCATAGATTTTGCTTCATTTCTAAAAGGTCACATTTTGAGAGCATTTCAAAATATTGAAAAGTTCGTCATTTTCTGAGAAAAGCATGATTTCGAAAAAGGAATGCATAGCTATGTTTCCAACATTTGCTTTACTCGAAATTCGTCGAAAAAGGCTGGATTGCATGAAAAACCGCGTTTCCTTTAGCATTTAAAGAAACCGGAAGTGCGCCCTATATATATTGCAAGTTACCCTATCAGCGTGTACGCAATTTACACTACCAGCCCACTTTGGTATGATCAAACAAAGCTGCATGGAGTTAGTTTTTCTCGTTCTATTGCTCTTGTTTTTCTGTCTTTCTCTTATTTTGTCTTTGCTTGTACTTTTTTTACTTTGCATTTTGTGAAAAACAAACAAAAAAATCTAAAATGTAAGCGAATTTGCAAGTTATTGAGTTGTTTTTATTTTCTGCGCTCAGGCTGACCTAAGTAACTGGAAGTGGAATTTCACCTCCTTAGCAACACGCACGAGCCCGTGCATAAATCGGTTAATGGGCCTTTAAAATGAAATTCTTTTGTCTCTTAACTCTAATTATTCATGGATCATGAATAATTAGGGTACGAAGACAAAGAAAATTGAGAATCAAACTCAAAGTTAGAATCATTTTAATCTGAATTTCATTTTGCCCTACAACATAAATATGTCTGGATTTATGAAAACAGTGTTAATGAAATCACATCCTGCTCGTAGATAATATAAATATTAAAAGGAATGTCAGTCTTTATTTTCCTCCACTCTCTTGTCTTCCTTTTCTTGCTCCTCTCTCTCTATTTTTTTTTTTTTTTTCCCTCAGTTGGAGTGATTTTAAGGCTTTTGGGAGTCCTGAAATCAAACTGCATATGGGTGATTTGGTTCAAAGTATTTGACCCAGTTTTCATAAATCTAGTCATATGTACTTTTTTGAATACATGTATTATTCTCTAAAATAATCTTTTCATACTACCACATTTAGCTTAAATTGTGGTAACCAGCACAAAAGCCAATGGCTACTCTGGTAACCACACACATATTTCTTTAGTCTTTTCCCTAACCATATATTACAAATGTTTCTCTTTATTTTACACATGCTACAATACTAACTAATGCAAACACTGTAAATAGTCTGCAATAAAGTAGTTGAATTAGAGTTGAGTCGAGAGTGAGGTATTGGATATTGATCCAACCATTTTGACATTAAAGGTGACAGAAAATTACAGAGAATGATGTCACAATTGAAGGGGTGCCTGAAAAAAAGCGACTTCAAATAAATTGCTAAATTCCCCTTTCAGATTACCTTGTATTCCCTTGTGAAACAAGAAGACAGTTTGATGTTATATCAACAGTCAGTCAGGGCCTTATTCTGTGCACCCCTTCTATAGATGATGTATAAAACTCATGATTTCAGTTTACTAATCTCCAAACTTTTTAGCCTGTATGCAAAGGTAATCAGTATCTAGACAAGCTGAGTGCTGCAAACCTTTTCTCCATATCACAAAAATTAGCTGAGATATCATTATTTTAATAAGTCTGAAATGAGTTTGCCAAGGAAAGAAGTTCCCCTCCCCTTGTGAAATATTTCCAAGTCGGAGTTATCTTTTGGTACCACTTCCAGTTATGTTCCAGATGGGGTTTCACAGATGACAAGAATAAATATATTGCAAAACTCGGGATGAAATACTCTCGTCACTGATGCTGCCACAAAACTGGGTTTGTAATGTCATAATAATGTGACGTAATCAATTCTTTAATTTTGTATAAATAATTGTCATTTTGTATTGTTTTAGAAACACTAAGCATTTATAGTTCAGCAAAATGTTGGCTTTCCTAGAAACTGTGCTTGAAAAAATTTGGCAAGAGTTTTTTATTTCTGAGGAAAAGTATGGTTGGGTACATTCCCTGGGGGTAGCAATTTTTATTTCAACCTGTCATAACTAACAAAACGTTTGATATGGCGAAGAATGGTTTCTGGCATTGAGTTCCTCTTGTTAAGGTCTTTCAAACAGCATATTATTTTGCTTGAATTAACAAACCATATATCAAGGATATTTTTGATGTCATCATTATTTTGTGATGTCATCATACAAGCTTGATGTCAAAACAATTGGGACAACAACACAAGTACATATGACAAGTTTGGTGAAGAAATATGTTAAACTTGTATGCAAAATGACCCTGAATGACCTATTCTCATACCGGAACTGCAGCCACTGAGCTATAAAAGAAAACCATTTGTATTGCGTTGAAGTCATTGAAGAAGAGTATGACTGTATACTACTGCAGTTTAGAGTCTAATGCACATATAAACTCACCAGTTTTTCCCCATCCTCATCCTCAATGTGGCAATATTTCAAACCATTATTTTCCATTTTGACGTTTTGCACATGGCTTATTTACCGGCATGTATGCTTATTTGCCGATTAGTCCGGAAGGACACTGGGCAAGCCACTGGGCATGATCGGCAATAAACCTGCTCTTTCGCCCTGGTAACAATGTTATCAACAAAATCTGCAAAGCACTTTAGGTAAAATAATTTTTTAGTTAATTTCACACTCTTACACTGTGTATTTCCCACTTCAGTGCAGTTGGTCCGTTCAACATGCCATGTAAGCGAGAATCAAATGTCCCAGCGACCACCTTCGCTCATCACCAGTGTCTCACATTACGGCGTTTCGTTGCCCTGACGGTACTCTTCCTTTATAATACGGCCATCTCCCGCCCATAACAAGGACACTGTTAGATCTGCTCCTTTGTCCGCGTATTAAAGAGGTTCGACTGTATCTATTTTTGTGACATACACAGTACGCGAATCGAGTACGCGGCTACCGCAACCGCGTCCCCAGGGCCTTCTGCACTTTTGAAAATCGTCGAGGTTGGTATAAAGCATGGACTGGGGACTGCGGACTGCGGACTCGTGGTTTCTGAACATCGTAAAGTGGATATCTTAAAACTATCTCGTGGTTTCTAGTTTATATTATATGTTCACGAACACGGCCTTGAATCCCTTGGCTTTGGGATGTTGACGATGGGAACAGCTATATTTCATTAGCTGTAGTCAGGAGCCCATTAATGGGCTTGATTGCATTGTTGATTAGTTCAAGTCGCGACAGATAGCTCAGTCTTTATCTGGTCGAATATTGTTTAGAATATTGTAGATACTCCGAAGGCCAGATCCATAAGAGTAAGCCTGAACCAAGAAACGGCAATATAAATACTGTCATCCTTTATTCCTCAGGGCCTAGGGGTGTCCCCGACAAGGCAGCATACTCTAGGAACGAAAGAACATTTTCCACCTTTAACACTGTGTGCTTGTCAAGCTAAAGAGCGTTTTCACCTGACGTCATCAAATTCTTAAATCCAAAACTAAAGAACCACCAAAGTTTTCATCTTCATCAGGCATAAGAGGTACTTTATTTATATTTGTTTACAACTTTCCAGCTCAATAGCTTAGCGTCCTTCGTTTGGAAACCAGCGCATTTTGAATTTCAGAGTTATAGCGGTGCGTGACATAAAGCTACGACTGCGTCTGTCGAAAACTATGTATTTATCTCTTGATTTTTAGCCATTTAAGACGTTATAGTATTTGGAAAAGTGATAATTTAAATGGTTTTTTTTTGTTCAGTGGAGATAATCAGTGTCCTAGATAACCAAAGTAAGTTCCTGATTTTTTTATTTTTTATTTTTTATTTATTTTTTATTTTTTTAAATAAAGCACTTTATTAATACACCTAAAACACACGTACATTACACTTACATGCACTGTTGAAGTTTTACAATGTTCAATAACTTTTCTCATACATGAAAGAAAAAGAAAACGTGACAGCTAAGTAACTACACAGAACAAGAA